TCTCCTCCAGGGGGACAGCAGAGGGGACAGAGGAGCCCTGGGCTCTCCTTACCGTGTCTGCAAGGAACTGCTTCCCAGTCACAGTACAAGGTGACGATCCAGGCAAGGTGACTGGCCCCGAGTCTGTCCCCGACACTGAGGTCTCCTGGGCCACGTGTGACTGGCACTGGCTGAGGAAGGCGTCTCCCTTTGGGAGGAGGGGCAGCTTCCTCAGGCGGCAGTGGGTTGCCTCTCGGCCATGATCCCAGGAGAGTGGGGCAAGTAGTGAGGGGTGGCTCCTGCCCTCCCTCTGGGTGCAGCTCAGCATCAGAGCAGGTGACACCACGGGCACAGGCAGGTGGCTGGGGCTCCAGGGGGCTAACCACCCACTGCTGGGATGGGGGACCAGGGCCATTCAGGGGCCACAGTGAGGCTCCCTGGTGACTCCGTCCTGAGGGTGCCCACAGGCACCTCCTCTCCCTGCCCCAGGCGGGAGGCTGGGGTTTGGCACTGAGTGGAGTCCTGCCTGGGCCCAGGTGGTGGGGGGCAGGATAGGCCCTCTTGGTCTCTGCACCCCAGACTGAGAGGCTCATGAGCCACAGAAGCTCACCTCTCAGGGTTCCGGGGGCCGGGAGTCCACAGCAGGGTCAGGCTCCACCTGCAGGTCCACACACCCGGGCAGCACAGGGTTGGCATGTGACCGCCAGGTGCGCAGAGCCAGACACAGAGCAGGCGCACGGGCACTGGGAGGGGCAGCAGCAGGTGCCTGTGCACCCCACCGGCCTGGGCACCTGAACACACTGGCCGATGAGTGTCCAGCGTGCCTTTCACCCAGACCTGAGCGAGCCCCAGGCCCCACAGAGGTGGCCGTGTCTCCTTGCCTGTCCTTGGGTGTGTGCTCCTGATCTGGGGGAGCTCTGTGCCATGGCACGGAGCAGGTAAGGCGGGCTGGCCCCGAGTCTACCCGACACTGGGGTCTCCTGGGTGGGGTGGGCGCAGGGACTGGGGGATGACAAGATGGCCTCCTGCAAACAGATCAGAGGATCAGAGCCAGCACCGGGCGGGCGTGAGGAGCAGTGCTGGGGATTCGGGGTGCTGCTTCTGGACTGGGCCTCCCTCTACTTAGAAAGAGGGTCCAGGTGCTGCACTGGGGCGTCTGAGGAGGACATGGGCTTGACAGACAGCTGGCCTCGGGGGACCTAGGCACTGCTGTGCTGTGGCGATCCCACGGTGCGAGACACACGCGGGGGACACTGAGGTGCAGGAGCCAGGGCGTGCCAGCGATGGCCGGGTGTGGCGTGGGGCTGGGGCCAGGTCTGGCCAGCCTCTCCTCCACTGGGGGGGCCCAGCTGCCCCTTCCTGTGAGGCCGAGTCGGCCTGCTCTGCCGGACACTTTCCAAGGTGGGAGCCGTCTCTCTCCAGGATCCTGGCCCCCCGTAGGCAGTGGTTGTCATTGAAGAGTGACAGAGAGCGTGAGCTGCACTCCTGTCGGGGGAAGATGGGGGAGCTGTGGGTTGCCGAGCTGCGGAGAAGGCGGAGCTGGGACCGCAGAGGTGCACTGCAGGGAGGCCCCCGTGGACCCTCAGCCACACTCAGGTCCCATCTGCCCGTCTGTCCTTCCTGTGGTGGACCCGGTGCGGGCCCTCAGGAGGGGTCTGTCAGCCTCAGCAGGGCCTCAGGGGCCTGTGACCCGGGAACCCCAGGCGGGGCGCAGAGACAGGGGGCTGGAGCGGTTACGAGCTGACAGTTAAACACCCACTAGACGGCGCCACAGACGTGCCCCGTGCGGTGACGACGAGGCCCAGGCCCCACCTGGGCAGCTTGAGCAGACGTCTTGGCTTTGGCGCCGCCTGGCTCTGTGCTGTTGGGCAAGCCACCTACCCTCTCTGTGCCTCCACCTCACCTGTCCCCCGGATCCTGGTGCCCACTTCACGGAGCGCGCAGAGGGCCTGAGCCCTCCCTGCCTGTGCCGCACTCTTGGGGTCACTGACAGCCGGCTCCTGTCGGGCGGCTGACCCCAGGCTCCCTCCTCGGTGCAGCCAAACCAGCAGCTACCCCCAGCTGCACGACGTGTGGCCGTCCAGCCTGGGTGCGCCTGGGTGTGGGGCGACACGGTGGCCTCTGTGGTGAGCCATCATGGCAGTCATCCAAGAGGGGCCTCCTGCTGCCGTGGAGGTGGTCACTAAGTCCAAGGAGTCAGTGGGCAGGGCCCCGGGGCGCTGTCCCTCAGGCAGGCCACTTGGGCTTCCGTCTCCCACGGGAGGTGCCCCCACCCGCCTTCACACCCAGGGGAGAGACTGGAGAATGGGGACCCATGACACAGAGAGGCCGGTCCCAGGGCCAGCAGGACGAGGACATCCACTCACTGGCCGTCTTCTGAGGCCTCTGCTGTCCCCCTGCCCGGCAGGTCATCTCTAACCCCTGCTGCTCTTCAGGGCGGATCCCAAGTTCTCACGGTGCCCTTCGCCCTGTGGTCCCCACGGGTGGACCTGTCTCTGCGTGTGGGTGTGATAACATACACCAGATTCCCATCCTGGCCGTGTTCTGTGGGCAGGGGCGCCGGCCACCCTCACCTGCCGCCGCCACCTCCAGGGCTCCCTCCGTCCCCGGCCTGGCACCTGCCCACCTCACCTGCTCCCCTCCGGCCCGGCTCCCCCTCCCTGTGGCTCTGGCACCTCCAGGGGCTCCTGTAAGCGGGTGGCCCGGTGTCTGTCCTCCTGGTGTCTCTCACCATGGGAGGTCCTGGAATGTCCTTCCTCTGTAAGGACGAGGGACAGTGCACTGTACCGAGGACCGCGTTTTGCTTCGTGATCCCCCAGGGGACCCGCGGCTGCTTCCTGCCCCCTTCCTGTTCTGTGGGCGGTGCTGCCGTGGGCAGCGTGTGCGTGCCCCTGGGCCACCTGCTCTCTGCCTGCCGTAGCGAGGCCCTGCAGACCGGGCGGCTTCAGCAGTAGACGTGGGTCTTCTCCCCGTTTGGGAGGCTGGGAGTCGGGGCCAGGGCCATCCTGGTTGTTTCTGGCCGGGGCTCTTCCTGACTGGACAGTGGCCTTCACGCCGTGTCCTCTCATGGTACAGAGCGAGCGAAGCGGTTCCCTCCTGTCTCTCCACGAGGGGCGCTAACCCCTGCCGACCTCACCTGCCCTGATGTGCTGCCCAGGCCCCTCCAGATGCGCCCCAGAGACTCAGACTCCGACAAACGACACCGAGGAACACAGTTCGGCCCATGGCGATCCGCCCTCTGCCCCCCAGATTCACACGCCCTTGAATGCAACATGGCCAGCCCTCAGGACCCCCGGAGCCTTCACTGTCGGCCTGAGCGTCAAGTTCACAGACTCAGCCGAAGACCGTCCTCCACCCGGTCAGACTCGAGGCCCGGTCCTTCCAGAGGCGAGATTCCCTGCAGGGAAACCTTCCAGCAAGCCCCGTGGGACAGACACGGGACAGTCCCCATCCAGGAGGGGCGTGAGCACAGCGAAAGGGGCGCGGGCTCCAGGCAGTCAGAGCCGCAGGCTGCGCCAGCCTCCTCCCAGCCCTCAGGGAGCAGAGGCCGGGCCTTCTCATCAGGTCCTCCCAGTCCACCTCCCTCTCCACCTCGCGGCTCCTCCACTGTCGACTAGAATCTTCTCAGCTCAAGAGTCCCTGTCGGCACTTACTGCCACCAGCCCCGGAGTCCGTTAGACAGGTCCTTCGTCACCCTACGAGGACCCCGCTCCCCGTTCCCACAGCGGCTCCCCACGTCCAGCTGGGCCCTTCCTGGAATGACTGACGTCCCTATTTCTAGAGGCACCTTCAGACTTCCAGCCCACCCCCCGTCCAGCCCCAAGGCGGGCTCCACGTGTCTGGATGCTCGTCACAGCAGCACAACACTGCTGGCACCGATTGCTGTGTTGGTGGGGCCTCTCCAGAGAGACCAGCATGACACACGCACACAGGCACACACACGTACCTGCATGTCCACACTCGTGCACACGGCCCACAGCCTGTAATGGTTTCCCTGTGCTGTGGTGTAGCCAGCTATGATTCAGTGGACACCGTACCTCAGACTTTGACTGTCCGTCTTTCCCGGCTGGCCGTGCCCCCCGGTGCTCTTTCGCAATGCTCACAGTGATGGTGAGCAGCAGGGTCCCAGCAGCCTGCGATGGCGGCAATGACCACGAATGCCGTGGCCTCAGGTGTGATGCGCGGGAGGTCAGCTGTAGGTAGAGAGTTCCCACCTCCAGGGTCAGCTCACGATGCGCTTACTGACACAGGAGCCCTGGGAGTCAAGGGGCCTCCCTGTGGGCGAGCGTGTGCAGGACCAAGAGGTCCTGCGAGGCCTTGGCTCGTGGGATCGTGGGGCCGGCAAGTCTGCGTCTGAGCCGCCGGAAACTCAGGCGAGAGCAGAAGCTGCAGACGGAGGCTCCTTCCCCCCAGGAAGCCCCGCGTAGCTCCTAAGGCCTCTGCAGATTGCGTAGGTCGCCCACACCACCACCTGGGGCAGCCTGTTGTCCATGTGTGTGTCCCGGCTGCTGTCCTGTGCCTGCTGGCCCTGCCAGGGTCCCCTGGGACACCCCGAGCTTGCCCGTATGATCTCCGGAACTTCCCACCTGTTCCTTCTGATGCACACACCCGGGGCAGGGGATTCACTCAGCTGGAGACACGTGCGCTTGGCTGGCCGTTCTGCAGCCGTGGGCACTGGCAGGGCCAAGCGTGGGCAGGCAGGCCATCTGGGAGCACAGGAGGCAGTACCTGGTGGCGGTCCAGGCCCTGGCCTGCTGACTTCTCCACTGCTGGTCAGATGGCCTCCCTCTGCCCCTGGGTCAGTCACGCTCACTCCCATGGTCCTAGTGAATGACAACACCATCATCACCAAGTGACCAGGAGGCTGGGACGAGCTCTGGGTGCTGGGCAGGTGGGAGCGCACGGGTCAGCAGCAGCCTGGAGAGCTCTGTGGGCCCCCTGTCCTGGGCCTCCCTTGATGTGAAGCCTGTGGACCCCCCGTGGTGCCGCTGGCCCTGACCTCATGTGGCTTCCACTTGCAGGTGGCGATCATCGCGGGCAACTTCGAGCTGGCAGAGTACATCAAGAACCACAGGGAGACGGACGTCGGTGAGTAGGCATGTTGGGTCCAGCAGGGAGACGCGAGCCGGCTCCGACGCCCTCCTGGGACTGGTGCAGAGCCGGGAGCAGCTCTGCGTGGACAGCCTCCCCCGCTCTGGCCCTGTGTGTCCCTAGCTTGCAGCAGAGAGGCCAAAGGAGACCCTAGACACTGGGCCACCTGATACGTGCCACCTGCTTCTCAGGAGGAGACACTGGTGCCTGGGTCTAGGACTCCCCACCGGGTCAGGTGTCTCATTCCCCCAAGTGTTGAAAACCGACACATACCATCGTGCGCGTGTCCACACGGTAGGACACACAGCCCCGGGTGCTCCCTCGTGTGCGTGGTTGGCCTGGGTGCTACGTGGCTTCACCAGTGGGACCAACGTGCCTCTGTGGCAGGGGGTGTCGATGGCAGGTGTCGTGCTGAGCAGGTGGGGGCCGGGAGACCCAGAAGCTTCCTCTCGGCTTTGCTGGGAGCCGGACACTGCTCTAAAGATCAAAGTCATAAAAATCTAAAGGAGGAAATGAGCCCCAGAGCCGGGGAAGGGGGAGGCAGGCGGGCTGGCTACGCGGCAGGCAGTGGCCTGGGTCGCGGGCCTGCTCTCACGGCCTCAGACTCGTCTGCAGGCGCGGGAGGAGTGTATGACGGAAGGTGCGTAAGGCACAGCCCCCTTCTGCCCCTGGACGGGGGGAGAGTCCCAGGGCCCTGCCCTCCCCTCCCGTGGCCTCCCCCTCTCCCCCTGATGGTGCTGATGACCGTTCCCCTTTTTAGTGCCCCTTGTGCCAACCAGGAGGCCAGTCTCTGGGGCTCCTCCTTATAGCCATCGCCCTGCCGTTGGCTGGGCCCAGTCCTGCACCGTGGATGAGCCCGCTGGCCTGTGGCCTCCAGCCCCGGGCTTGCACAGGACCTGCAGCGGGGAGCAGTCCCGTTGGACCGGCAGCGGTGAGCTTCCGAAGGCGGCATCGTCCCTCCAGGGTCGGGTGGGCTCCCGGGGCCCCGAGGAGCAGCAGGTAGAGCCTGCCCCTCGCTGCCTGTGCCCCTCACCCTGTTTTGGCGCTGGAGAGAGTGGGCTGTGTGTCTGGCTGTCAGGTCTCTGTGTCGAGTGTGCCGTGCACAGCTGTGGCTGCCCTGCTCTGCTCGGGGGATTGTGTGCCGTTCCTGGCTGGCACCCCTGCAGCCTGCGCTGGGAACCGGGGCTCCGGGAGGCTGCATGGACGCCCAGGCATCCCGTCTGTGAGCCCAAGTCACTTAATGGCTCTGAGCTCCAGGCCTGCCCCCCGGCTGCACCAACGCCCCATGAACACACTCTAGAGGTGGACGCGTTGACATCTGCAGAGCCGTTTAGGGAAGGAACTGAGCTCGTGGGGTGCAGGGGCCTGTCTTCCTGCCACCTCCCCAGGCCAGACAGCAGAGTAGCAGGAAAGCTGGGCTCAGATCTGTAATCCCGCTACCGGGGCTGCAGAAGCCCCACGCCCAGCAGGGAGGGACACCGGTCATCGGGGACCCCAACCTAGGGCAGCGGGCCTGGCTCCTGGTGTCCCTGGATGCAGAGCCCGAGTCCGTGGCTCATCCCGTAACGAGCTCTGTGATGCTCCTATTATGGTCATTAGCTGCCCACCTGCCTGAGGCCTGCAGCCAGGCAGAGGCAGGAAGAGCCTGCTCACCTGGTCAGAGCGGAGCCTTGCCCTGGGCCCTGCTCTGCTCCGCCGGCCGCTCACAGCCCCTTCCTCCCTCTGCAAACCTAAGCACCAGCCACCAACTCCCCTCAGGTCAGAACAACGTGTCCAGTCCCTGACGCCCAGCGGATTGGAGGGCCTCCTGGGGAGGCACATGGCCGTTAGCTTCCCCGCCTGTGCCATCCTCATTCTTGTTCTTAAGGAGGTGGGGGCTGTCTGGTGGGCAGGTCACTGACCCACGCTGGACAAGTATTCAAACAGCAGGCCCTGCCCCGAGGGTGTGCGGCCTCCAGGGCTCCCGGGGTTGAGCAGAGCTGTCCCACCCCCTACCTCTATGACCCACCCGTCCCAGTGACATGGTGGTTTTTACCAGCAGTTGACAGGGAGTCGATGTCACTTGTGGCCTGCTTTCGGGACTTCCCAGGGCCCAAGAGAGAAAGGAAGTTCAGAAAGTCTGCCTCCCTCATGGGGACCCTTCTGGGTCTCCAGAGAAGCCACAGAAACAGACGTCCCTTCACCTGAGCTTTGAACTAACTGGCATCCATGCAAACCCTGCCGTAGAAACCAGGCTGAAAACCTCCCAGGGCAGGAGTGAGGGGCGTGAGGCTGTGGGTCCACTATGAACCCAGACTTCGCACCCTTGCCAGGTGATCTCAGCACTCAGTCCCCGGGACACCTGGCTCGACACATAACAGGCCTCTAGGGCTGAACCCAGGGGGGCTTCTCTACCCCCCACCCCCATCTGCACGGTCCCTCATTCCCCGCGGAGGCCAGAGGTTGGGCGTGTGATGGGGAGATCCGGTGTGCCCGTTCCCGTGACCCGCCTGGGCCTCGCAGCTTCATGTGTGTGTCTGTCCTGTTGTCCAAGAGCCGCGGCTTCTGGCTGAATGAACAATAGTGGTGAAAACAGCTGGCGCACACTGAGTGCTGCCGGCCAGTGTCTCACGCACCACGTCGCGTTCATTCGGGCCTCTGCGTCGAGTGCGGCCGTGTCGGTCCTCCCAGGAAGAACCTGAGCAGAGGTGTGGCCTTTGAGGTCAGGCCTCCCCGGAGCAGAGCCTGAGGCCAGGAGGCCCCAGGGCATTAGGGAACGGGAAAGGGGGACACCAGGACAGGTGGTCAGGGAGCGGTCAGTACCACTGGCCACCAAGGCTCCATGGTCCTCGGTGGGTGACGCATTTTGTGTGTCTACCCACTTCACGTTCTTGGTTGGAGCAGGTGACTTGCTGGTGCCAAGGAGCATGCCCCCCAGGAACTTCAGGTGAGGCGCAGGCACCGTGTGTGGGCCCGGCCTGGCCTGGCCCGGCCCGTCCTGCGGTTTTAGGCAGGAAGGGCCCGAGGCGTCTGCAGGCAGGGCTTTTCCACAACCGCATGCTGGACCCAGTGGGCAGGCCAGGTCCCTCCCCAAAGGCACCTGGCCCTGCAGCTGGCCTCTCACCCCCCAGCCCCACAGCCCCCACCCTGAGGCCCAGGCCTCCCCGACAGAGGGCAAAGGAAGCAGACCGCCCGCTGACCACCCACAGCACGGGCCCCTCACCACAGCCAAGGGGCTGCCTCTCCTCTGCCTTGTCCAGGCCCTGTGGCTCGGGGGCCAGCGGGGCATAGTGTTCCCCTGCTCTGGGCCAGCTCCCCGTGGGCTTCGAGGGGCCCAGGAGGAGCAGGAGGAAGATGTGGCCACGGCGGAAGGCGGACGGAGACCAGGGTCATCTGAGAACTGCTGGCATCCAAGGCTGCTGCCGGGGCCTCTCAGCAGCGGCCAGCCAGGAGGTCACCCTGCATCCAGGAGGGAAGTCAGGCTTTAGTGGATCCAGTGGCCGCAGCCTGCCCATCCTGGCCTCCCACGTCCCAGTGAGCTCCCAGCTGCCGAGCAGACGGCTTCCCTCCGGGTCCTGGCTGCTCCTGGACTTCCCGTCCAGGGTGGCCGTGCACAGAGAGGCAGCCTCCCTGACTGTGTGCAGCGGCCGTGGGCCTGGAGGTCAGGAGGCCTCGGGCCGCTGGGAGGCCTCGCACAGGCGCACCTGCTCTGTGGTACAGGGGCCGGTGGCCGAGGAGGACCCGCGTGCAGGGGTGTGGGGCTGACCTGAGGGCCGTGGTCCCAAGCTCCCGTCTGGAGAGGAGACGCACCTCCTCCTGCTGGACCTCCTGCAGGTCATCCTGTCTGCCTTTGGAGCCCAGGACTGCACTGAGCTTGAACGTCCTTGCGGACCCGGGAGGCCTGGCCCCTCGTCTTCACCTCCCTCTGTTGACCACCTCCCCCGAGATGGCCCTGTGCAGACTTGGGGACTCGGATGACCCAGGAGGACAGAGTCCCTTTTGTCCCCACCCCACCCCCAGGCCCTACAAGTGGTGTTGAGAGGACCAGGGACCTGCACGCCCTCCCAGCCGCGGCTCAGCGGAGCCAGTGTGACAGCTCAGGAATGGGCACCGCCCACCTGGCCTCTCAGACTGCTACTGCCCACCCTGTTGTGGTCCCCAGAGTCCCCCTGAGTCTTGAGGTGGCTGCTCTTCCCTCCCTGCCCCCGCCGTCCTCCACTCACCCACAGGTGAGTCCTCACACACCCTGCAGGCTCCTGGTGCCTGCGGGGTGTGCCAGGTCTGAGTCCCCCGGGAGCTGGCGCCGAGCACAGATGCCCAGGGCCCCGGGGCTGGCACAGCCTGGGGCCCCCAGAGTCACAGTTTTGGGTTCCTCCAGAGGTTGCTGCTGGAGGCCCACGCTGTAGCCCACTGGGCGCACGGCCCGCCTCCCGTGGACCTGGGCAGCATGTGAAGAGGGCCTTGGGTGGCTTCCCAGGGCTGACACCATGACAGCCACCCTCCAGGGGCTTAGAACACCTGGGGCTGGTTCTCGCCCCGTTCTGAAGGCCAGCGTCCAGAGCCCAGGTGGCGGCAGGCGGGTTCTTTCTGGAGTCCCCAGGGGAGGACCTGCCTGTTCTCTGCAGCTTCTGGTGCCGATGGCCGGCACCTGGCCCTCCTGGGCGGTGGAGGCTGGGCTCCAGGATCTACCGCTGACCTCACGGCCCTCCTCTGTCCATGCCGAAGAGTTCCCTCCACCTTGCTCTTATGAGGACATCAGTCTCTGGATTTAGGTCTCACCCTAAATCCAAGATGGTCTCATCTGGAGATCCTTAAGTTAACTGCATCTGCCAAGATCTTATTTTCAAATAGGGTGGCCATCGCAGGGTCCTGGGGTTAGAACTTGGACGTATCTTCCGGGGCCACCATTTAACCCAGCGGAGGGCAAGGACACTGCTCCTGGGGGCTTGGGGTACCTGCCCTGCCTGCCCCACGGAGCCTGCCTCCCCTCTGGTCCCCACCCCACCCTGCCTCCCCAT